AAACTAGACAAGCAACCAATAAACTAAATAACCTTCTCTGAACTGGATTAATGATGTCTGCTATAATTTTTTTTTCTGGGTAGTTTCCCCATTGTGATGAGAGGTTTTGTGCTTCTATTTAAATAGCAATAATTTCTAAATAAGTTTCAATATATAATAACTCAATCTCCCATGCACAAAAGGCTGTTCTTTTTTGCTCTCTTTTATTAAGACATCTTATATTTTGGATTTAAAGAAACAAAGTTGTTGTCACAAGCTGTCGTGCCAAATATGTATTGCTTTCTTTGAAAATGTAGCTAGATTAATGGATAAAGGAAATGCTGTGGGTGCAGTATACTGAAACATCAGCAAGGCATTTGATAAAGTAGACCATGTCCTCCTTGATAAACTGCAAGGAAATTTGGAAGGAGAATGCCACTACCTAATGGATTTGCAATTGGCTGAATAACTATAGCCAACACATGGCCCTTAATAATGGGGTACATCAAGGCCCAGTATTTCCCAACATCTCAGAACATGAAGACTTTAGATAAGTAATAATGATGCTCCTAAAATTTATGAAACAAGGCTGGGGGTGGGAGGGATTGCTAACACTTCAGAAGACAAGGTTAAGGTTCAAAGTGATCTTGACAGACTTGAATATTGAGTCATATCCAACAAAACACTGTTTAATGACGAGAAAGTAAGATCCCACATTTATGCAGAAAAAAACAGATGCATTTGTACAAGACGGATTACAGGTTAAACATGAGGTAGCAGTGTGTTGTAATCGCCAAAAAAGCCAATGCAGTCTTGGGCTGCGTTACCACAGGTATAGTGACAAAACCTGCATTGCATTGGTTAGTCAGAACCTGGAATGCAGTGTCAAGTTCTCATTGCCACAGGACAGGAAAAGATGCTGAGGAATTGGAAAGAGAGTAATTGTGGATGCTCCATCACTGGAAGTTTTCAAAAAAAGTTTGGTAACCATTTGTCCATGTTGGCATTAGGATTCCTTCCCTAGGCATGGGATTAGACAGGAAAGTCTCCAAGATCTCCTCCAACCCAATGATCCTAAACAACACAACCCCCAACATTTAGACATCCAAGTAGTCCTTGGGTTCTGATGGCAAATGGGACCGGGATTGCTTAGTGATATCAGTGTGATATCATGGGGCACATCGCTTAACAACAGCAATCCCATCCTATAGCCACAGAATGCATGGATCATTAAGCAGGTAGTGGTGAGGATTCCAGGCAAGAAGAGTGGGAATGCTACAGAGTGTGGGAAAAGGCTTAGAAAGCCTGGTGCAGGCTGCTCATGAGTGCAGAAAGGCCATGGCTTGGCAGGGCATGAATGCAGGAAGGCTGGGAGTGCGTAGTGCGGTAAGGTATGAACATTGGAAGGCTAAGGGTGTACGGCATGGCAAAGCATGAGCACAGAAAGGCTGGGTGGAGGTACTTACCAGAGTGAGTTAGAATCTTTCTTCCAGCTTCCCCATTGAGTTTGCTTGTGGAAACTGGCAGGGAAGGTCACAAGTGGTGATCACATAACTATGGGGGCACTGCGAAGGCCAGAACTTTGAGGACTGGTCATAAGTATCACTTCTTTAATGCCATTGCAACTTCAAATAATGACTGAATTGGTTGGTAATCTCCGTATATACTCCTTATAAAAATACAGGTGAAACTCGAAAAAAGAACATCAAGAAGTTGGATGTTCCCAGAAGTGCTGTATCAAAGCACATTAATAGAAAGTTATGTGGAAGGGAAAAGTGTGGAAGAAAAAGGTGCACAAGCAGCAGGGATGACCGCAGCCTGGAGAGGATTGTCAGGAAATGCCATTCAAAAGTGTTGGGGACTTTCACAAGGAGTGGACTGAGTCTGGAGTCAGTGCATCAAGAGCCACCACACACAGACGGATCCTGGACATGGGCTACAAATGTCGTATTCCTCTTGTCAAGCCGCTCCTGAACAACAAACAACACCAGAAGCATCTTACCTGGGCTAAAGAAAAACAGAACTGGTCTGTTGCTCAGTGGTCCAAAGTCCTCTTTTCTGATGAGAGCAACTTTTGCATCTCATTTGGAAACCAAGGACCCAGAGTCTAGAGGAAGAATGGAGAGGCACACACTGCAAGATGCTTGAAGTCCAGTGTGAAGTTTCCACAGTCTGTGTTGATTTGGGGAGCCATGGCATCTGCTGGTGTTGGTCCACTGTGCTTCATTAAGTCCAGGGTCAATGGAGCCGTCTACCAGGAGATTTTGGAGCACTTCATGCTTCCTTCCCCAGATGAGCTTTATGGGGATGCTGACTTCATTTTCCAGCAGGACTTGCCCACTTGCCCACACTGCCAAAAGCTCCAAAACCTGGTTCAATGATCATGGGATTACTGTGCTTGATTGGCCAGCAAACTCACCTGACCTGAACCCCATAGAGAATCTACGGGGCATTGCCAAGAGAAAGATGAGAGACATGAGACCGAACAATGCAGAAGAGCTGAAGGCAGCTATTGAAGCATCCTGGTCTTCCATAACACCTCAGCAGTGCCATAGGCTGATAGCTTCCATGCCACGCTGCATTGAGGCAGTAATTGCTGCAAAAGGGGCCCAAACCAAGTACTGAGTACATATGCCTGTTTATACTTTTCAGAGGTCTGATATTGTTCTTTGTACAATCCTTGTTTTATTGATTGCATGTCATATTCTAATTTTCTGAGATTGTGGATTTGGGGTTTTCATGAGCTGTAAGCCATCATCATCGCAATTATGACAAATCACGGCTTAAACTATCTTGCTTTGCATGTAATGAGTCTATCTCATATATTAGTTTCACCTTTTAAGTTGCATTATTGAAATAAATGAACTTTTGCACGATAATCTAATTTTTCAAGTTTCACCTGTACAGTTACTGGGCCTTGGAAATTTTTTCTTTGCCACAGCAAATGGACTATTATACTCATCTTCAGGTTCCTAGTTCTGCAGGCATAGTGCTTCAATTTATTACTAAAGCACCAACCGATACCTCAATCTGACACTTTTCTCAAATAGCTTGACGAGACGGTTTCAGTGACAGAGAAACTTTGTAAGCCTCTCAGGTTGGATTCATACTAATATGATTTGTTTGGCTTTGGCATAATATTTTGTGTGATTTTAGCCACATAGTTTTGAATTTTTCTTGTGGTTTAGCATGATATACCCAGCCACTATATTGCAAAATCTTGATTTGAGATGCAAAATTTTATTCATCAAGTGTTTGCCTTGCAAGCTAAATGACAAACTTTGTAGCAGATTTTATTTCTGAGTGCTCCCTCCTCAAAAGAAAAATCAAGAAAAACTTTCAATTTCAAATATGATGAGACCATATTAGGAGCTGAATCTTCCATCCCTTTTTATCTACATCTACACTGTCACAATATTATAGAAGTAATGGAGAAATAATTGAATGGAAATGTTGGTTGCAAATGGGCATATCTGCATGCATGTTTCAGTTGCTTAACTCAATGTATATAATTCATATAAAGATTGCATTATGCACACAATTCTGTTAATTGTATATATTTCTTTATTTAAGGGCAATTGCAATAATAAGTCATCTGTAGGGACTTACAGCATCATCAATGCAACCTGCCCCAAATATATCTGATAGTAGAAACTGGTTGGACTTGCTTGCTTTATGATATCATGAGATGTGTTTTGTAATTTTGATGTCCTCGTGGTTAGAAATGATATATATATATATCTTGTTGTGTCTGAAAGCTTTGGTCTCTATAAATTTCATATTTTCTTTCAACCGTCCAGATGGTTGGTAGCCTTCATTGCACTTCATGCAATCAAATTGCATGATTTTAGTTTGTGTGGAAAGAAAGAGTACTGCCTAAATTTCCTCCCAAAACCAGAATCCCAAATTCTAACATTATAGGCAAATGTTATATTTCCCAAATTAATTATTTAAATTTAAAAGAGTAGTATAATCTTAGGTTTGTGGGGATATGACCATTCTTTTCCCACCCCGTAATATTTTTTAAAATAATCGTAAATTCATATTTTATATTTCTTTTGAAAACAGAACAGTCTATATTTCTCCATTCTATGGATTTATTTTATGCCAAGCCATTTTATGCTAAGGCCAATTGCCTTTAGTCATTGGCCAATATACGATAGTAAGGAAAGTCATGCCTCACAAGATCTTGGCAAATTTTAAATGCCATGCAGCAAAATGGACATTTACTTAATTATGGCACCTTCTACACAGCTGCTAACTTCTCCTCTGAAACCATAATCAACTTCTGAGTGTTCTCACTTGTCCCATTGAATGTCAGGTCTGAACAATTGTGAAGCACTAAAAAGTTACTGCTATCTGATACCTCACCTCTTCTTTTTATGGAAGGGAGGGGGGAAGGGAGAAAAGGAGGAAGGTCCACCAGTCCATGGTTGCTGCAGAACAAAAGGGAGATCAAAATTGCCCCTTACAGCAATTAGAGAACAGTCGTTATTTTAAATATTTTGATTTCTACTTTGTCTTTAACAGCTTGTTTTGGCAGCTCGGGACATTTTTGTACTTGGTGGAGGTTTAGATAGGAATAAGAGGTGCCTTCTCCTTTCCAATGCTTGAACAAAATAAATCTGAAAAGTGTAACTCTGCATTCTTAGTTGGCTTGACCAGCTGTCTGCCTGCTATAAGTTCCCCATGTCTGCTGTTAGGTTTACAGAAAATAGGCATTCTATCCATTGCATTTGAAACATTTTCACCGAGCAGTTTCCTGAGAATATTATGAATTATTTTATAAAGAAATGAAAGTAAAAGAAAGTAGAACATGCTAAAAATGAGAGACAGGTGATAAGAGGCAACTTCTCTCTAGGTTGGAATGAGAAGTTGTTCTGTCTTTTTCCACAGGATCTTTTTGTATTGACCGGGGAGAGAAAACAAGGAGCCAGATCATCTTCCCTTGGTCAGGGACAGAAGACAGCTCATCAGGATGGCTTCCCCTATGCAGGGAGATAAAGATGAATTGAAGAGCCTCATGGGAGATCTGATACTGATCCAGAGAATTCCAAGGAGCTGTTTTCCAGGGCTCCATAGCCATTTAACTTGACCATCTTGAAAGAACCGGGCAAGTTAGAGAAGAAGGTAGGGCGAGAGGAGGTGAAGAAGTGGCTGATTTCCACGAATGTCTTATTTTTAGTCTCAGGGATTATGAAATACACATACAGTGCAACTAGAAAGCAGATACCACAGAAGACCAGGTAGGAGAAAGGACCAGCTGACATCTGAGATAGAAACAAGGTTGGGTCAGAACAGATTAAAAGAAACTGGCACTGGCATTCCCCACTGCCCATCACTTAATCTAGACTTCCCCATTTGGTGGCCTCCAGATACGTTTACATTTCAGCTCCCACAATTCCCAATCAGTACGGCAATAACAACATAGGTTAAGAGAGGGCGAACTGGTCCAATATAGGAAGAAACACCATTAGTACGTTGAATATTTAAAGTTATTTCCCTTTATCAGATCCTTTACTGCTTTACCAATACAGTTTAAGAAGCTAGGAAGTTCTCTTAAATCAAGTCAAATAATTAGTCCATCTCCCTTGGTGTCAATTATAGAGATAATTACTACTGTCTGGGAATCACAAGGGGACAGGAGTCTTTTTCCAGCCCTGCTTATTGATGGCCAGGAATGATTGCCATGACCAGCTCAGTTTTGTTACAAATTCTCTTCTTTGTAACTGAAGATGACTGAGCTCTTGTGATTCCCAAGAGGCTCAGGGAAATTTGCAATGCCAGATTTTGAAAGATGGAGTCTTTGCTTCAGGACTAACTTGATTGGTGCTCCACTAGCATTTTCAGCTTGGTTAGAATCCAGACAATCTGTTTCGGTCCAGATAATATATCCTGTCCCCTCTCAGCCCCAGCCAGAATTGTCTATGATGAAGGATGGTTGATATTGCAATTTTCCAACTGGGGGGGGGGGTTCCATTTACTAGTGGGGTTTGGGGCATGATTCCATATCTAAATGTTCTGCTCCACCTATTGACCTACTGACAGTCCCCAACTGCAGTAGTGCAGGCCAATATACTAAGGGGACATAGTGTGTGAAGCATTATCCTTGCCAAGGGAGGCAATCACAGCTCCCAGACCTATGTTACCTGCAAGAAGGGAAACACAAAGCCGACAGTGAAGTTCGAGAGCCAGTTGAGGGACCCACCCACAATATAAGCCGATGGCCGATGTGACTGCTTGAAGAGTTCAGCTGTCATCAGAAATGGGACGCCAGCTGTCAGAGAAAGACTGCACTCAGTACCAAGTAAATTAGTCAGGGTCCTACTTTACCTGGCTCTTGGGAGGAAATGTGCTTGAATCAGACTCAAAACCACCCGCTGACAAAACTGGGACTGAAGACAGAATTTTGGAGGGAGTGTAATATAATAGCATTGCTCCACAGCCAGTAGGATTGTCGGCCTAGTTGCTAAGGCAACAGTGATATGGTTATTTTTCTCTTTGTTGTCCGTCCCCCCCCCCCCAGCATTTTCACATGTTTGAGCCATCCCTTCAATAGCTGAAATTACAGAGCACTTTTCAAAGGGCATGAAGTGTCCCAAATTGTTTTACGATTCAGCTCAGTTCCACACTCAAATCATGTAATACAATGCTGGTACCTTTAAGACAAGTGTTGCCTGTGATCCTGACACCATCCTTTGCCCTGGTGCAAAAGAACTACCCTCTTTTATCCAGCCACAATTTAAACAGCACAACTGCCTTTTTTGGAAGCACAGAGAGTACTGCTTCCTAAAATGGTTGTGGGTTTTTCCCCCTCCAAGCCCTTAATAAAAAATTCTACCCATGAAGTATTCAGAAAAACCACTGAATGAGCATTGCTTACAGATCACCCAGAGTGGGAAGAGAGATATTTTTATTTTAAAAGTCAGATTCATCATTGTTTGTGAACAATGAGCCATTAAAATCCTAATTAAAGATGTAATTACAGTGAATAAATTCTTGGCCGACAATGAGTTATGGATTTGTTAGAAGCTCCACTAATACATCAATTGGGTAAACCAGCACCCAGCTCGTCCATCATATTTAGAGTGCTCTGCATTTGCCTCTTGGTTAGCAGCAGGCAGAGGAATTGCCTCTGCAGCACAAAATAAAGAAGCAGCAAAACTCAGAGAGGCAACTTGCATCTTGACACTTCAAAGGGAAGGTGTTATTGCCTTGAGCTCCTGAACAAAGGTGTGATACAAATTAAATTAATAAAATGAACAAATGAATGAAGAAATGAATGGATGAATGGCAAGATATTTTTGCCTTATTCTTCTGGTCTAGAAATATAATAAATAAAATGAACGAATGAATGACAAGGCTGGTCATATAAATTTGTACATTGTCCCTCTACGCCTGATCTTCTGGTAGTCCAAAACTACACAATCAAGGTTATAGTATGCCAATGTCAACCAATTCTAAATGCATTTAACAAAATCCTATTTAGGACAATGCACATAAAATAAAACTTGCCACTATTCATTCCATCTCTTCAACATACCAATTTATTGAGCATTTTATTAATTCTTTTCTTCTTTTTAAGTTCGATGCTAACTGCAATTCTTCTGATGCATAGTAATATGGAATAAAAGTTTTGGTATCTTATTATTCCTCAGATACTTCTCCTGCTCCGCAAACTTACCTGGTCCTATGCAAAATCCTGCAATGATTCCAATCACAAAAGCCACACTGATGTAATGCATCCAGGACACACTTGACTGCAAAAATGACATCCAATTGTTGGGATTTGTTAATGTAAAATGCAAATAGTTACTTTTCTCTTAATCACAAACCCCTAAATTGCCTATATTCCAGTTCTGCATTCTATAAGTCCTATCTGTAGACTCCTAATTATGCTAATTTTATTGTTTTTGTTTGTTTGGAGTGATAGTCAATATTCTAGTGTCCTGGATCTAACTTTTCTATCCTCCTCTTCTGTCCTCCAGTTTTGCGGCTCAGCTTTTCATATTCTGATTAATATTTCAGAAATGGTAGGATTCTTTTGCATTTCCTCAATTGTGCCCACTTTGATCTTCAGGGTGTTTTGCATTCATCCACCAGAGCTACTTTGTTTTTCTGTTTTAATTTTAAGATAGAAAAAAAGCAGCTCTGGGAGCCTTCACACACACACACACACACAAGTCACTACTGTCACCTCTAAAACCACAGCCTGAAGTGAAAATCGGATTCAAATTAGATTACTTGGTGTGACTCTATGCAGAAATATGTTTTTTTACCTGAAGCACCAGGGACAGGGTGATGCCAGCACAACAGATGCCCATAAAACAGAAGCCAACTATGAGGAGAGAACGACGTCCCACCTTCTCAATGGTGAAACACTGCAGGAGAAAAGTGGGCACAACAAGGACACTGGCTGTTAGATTTTGTTTCTACATGCATGTACATGCTACAAAAATCTGATCGTTTGCATTTTTAAATTAATTGATGTTGTTTGCACAGTTTGAACTCCAGCACAATTTTTCTTCACATTCTACACTTTTGCAAAGAGAGCTCTCAAATTTAAAAATGTATATAGAAATGCATAGATTTGGGAAATATATATCCAAAAGAAAGTTGCATGGAAAAGAATTATCTATTAGAGAATATTGCATAAGAAATAAAAGGAAATTTTCTTGGAAATTAAATTTTTTGGCATTTTTATATTTTATATTTAGTACCGAAAGGACAGGAATACTGACTGCATTAACTAAATTTACATTGATATAGTACACACCAGGCAAGCATACTGGGAAGACACAACAGTGCTACAAAGAATTATTGCTATAGAGTAAATTGAAAAAAAAATACTATTTTGTGCCATGCAAAACAGCCAGAATGTCAGCCTCTAAAATTGTACCAAGATTCTTTAAAAGAACAATGGGACCACTGAATTTTCTGAATGAAATATTCTAGGATCCAATATACTTACTCCCTTAAATATAATGCACCAGAATCAGGTGGGAAGGAAAGATTTAATTGAGGAAGTAGAAGTGAAAGAAACATTAGACTATTTAATGCTAGAGTTCTTTATTTTAAGGGAAACTGAGCATAGTCCTGTGTGTATCTTGGATTCCAAAAAAAAGTATATTTTAATAAACTCAAAGCAATTATAAGTAGGATCCCATGACAGGAGAACTAATGTAAAGAGGATCTCTGGTGGGCAGAAGTTCTAAAGCAAGAGGGACTACAAACAATTCCAATAAGAGAAATAATGGACAGCAGAAGCAGCAAATGTGACTAGTGAAAATAGTCAGGAAGTAGAAAGAGGGACAGATCACAAAGGAACAGATAGCTATCCAGAACTATTGTTAACCAAACAAAATCTCAGATTGAAATAAGGTTAGGAGAGGATTCTAACACTAATTAAAAATGCTTTTTTAGATACATTCTAAATAAACGGAAAAGGAAAGAATGAGCTACTTAATGAAAATGGCAAAATGCTAACAGGTAACAAAGAAAAAGCAAAATTATTCAATTTTGGTTCAGTCTTCTCCAAGAAGAAGAAATGTTTTACATCAGGAAATTGTTCAAAACAGGATAAGAGAAAGGACTGAACGCTTATTGATCAAACATATGATTCCAAGCAATGTGAGTTTCCTTGAGTAAAGCCAGCTGTTTGACCTCCCTTGAAGAAAGCCTCTCCTTAAGAAGCCATCACTTGGAAAATTTCCCTAATATTCTCTTAGTCACTCACGCTAGCCACCTCTTGTGTGGATATGCAATGTTTTCCACATGGAGCTACCCTTGGAGTCTACTACTGGGCTACAGCTGGCCCAGAATGCATCAGTTTGAGTCGTTATGGGTGCGTCTTAGTTTGTCCATGGGAAACCATTACTTTCCAAGTTGCCATGGTTATCTATTGGCTTCTAGGTGGAATTCAAAGTCCTAGCTGTTACCATAAAGTTCTTCATATATCACATGATGGATATCTATAGGACCACCCGTGTCCAATTGAATCGCTCATCTTATAGAGCTGGTAAACTGACCATGTTCCATGTCCCAACAATAAAACAGATTTTGATGGGACCTCATAGACCAGGAGTGTCAAACTCACGGCCCACAGGCTGGATTTGTCACACGCTGACCACGCCCATGCCCAGTTTAGTGAAGGGAAAAAAGTTGTGATACATCATGTGACGATGGGGTGATGACATGAATTTGACACCCCTGTCATAGACTGACTCTCTTGGCCAGAAAGCATTCCCCTCTTATCCACATGGCTCTGACCTTGATGGTTTTTGGGATGCCTTAAAGCAGGGGTGTCCAACCTTGGCAACTTTAAGCCTGGAGGACTTCAACTCCCAGAATTCCCCAGCCAGCAAAGCTGGCTGGGGAATTCTGGGAGTTGAAGTCCTCCAGGCTTAAAGTTGCCAAGGTTGGACACCCCTGCCTTAAAGACTTGGTTGTCAGGCAGGCTACTTTTTTGATCCTATGGATATTTTAGTTTGGGAGATGTTTTCTTATATGGGATGTTTAATGTTGTTATTGTTTTGCTTTTAAAATGGGTTGATTAATTTACTGTATATTACCAAGACTGTTTTTGATTATGAAGGTCTTTATCATCTAGAATCTTATTTGGCTTTATGTAGAATCCACTTGGATTTATTGTATATGGGAAATAAATTACATAAATAAATGGTAAACATTATGTGTGAGTTTAATTTTCCAGTAGCACATAAATTACATCTAGGATACTGAAGGAACTAGATGATGTTCTGGCCAAGTATTTATGTATTATTCAGGAGGAATGGTAAAATGTTATGTGACAGCAGGAGAGCAAATCCTATCTTTAAAAGATCTTGCAAACTACAGATCAGGCAGTCTGAGTTCAATATCCGGGAAGTCCGTAGATCATAAACTGATTAATCTGTAAGCACCTTGGAAACAATGTATTATTTACCAGAAGTTAGTGTGAATGACTAATTGTATCTCATTATTTTGATCAGACAGTTTTCTTAATAGAATGTGAGAATTTATATTATTCTAAGATAGCTTTATTTCAGTAAAGCATATAATAAAATACTTCCTATATGCTGATTAGCTAGTTAATAAAATATGAGCTGGATGGCATGACACATAAGTGGAGACATAATTTAATTGTTTGAAAATATGACTGAACAATGCTCATCACTAGTCCTCATCAAACTTGAGGAATGTATTGAATGAGAGTGCCTACAAGAATCAGTCATGGATATTCTACTCTTAAAAATGTTTTGTTTGTATAGATAGTCCTTGACGTACAACCATTCATTTAGTGACTGTTCAAAGTTACAACGTAACTTGTGACCATTTTTCACACTTATGACCGTTGCAGCATCCCTATGGTCACACGATCCAAATATGGATGCTTGGTAACTGGTTCATATTTATGATGGTCCTGGGTTCAAGTGATCACCTTTTGTGACCTTCTGACACGCAAAATCAATGGGGAATCCAGATTGACTTAAAAACCATGTTTCTAATTTAATAACGGTGGTGATTCACTTCAGAATTGTAGGCAAAACTCACTTAACCAACTGTCTCACTTAGCGACACAAATTTTGGCTCAATTGGGGTTGTAACTCAAGGACTACCAGTAGTAACATTTTAATTGAAGTGATGCAGGGAATATTTACAAAATCTGTAGATAAAGAGACAGAAGAATGTAGGAGTAAAAATCAAAACACATTAATAAGTTAGAAACGTGACTTGAAATCAACATGATAAAATTGATCAGAGTCCATTATAAAGTTCCTCACATAAATCAAATACCCAAGAATAGAATGACATATACTTGGCTTGGCAACAATACTTGTGAAAGCAATCTTGGTATGTATCTTGATTACTGTGTTTATTTCTGGGCCAGAGGTGGTATTCAGCAGGTTCTGACCAGTTCTGGAGAACCAGTAGCAGAAATTTTGAGTAGTTCAGAGAACTGGCAAGTACTGCCTCTGACTGGCCCCGCCCCCATCTGTTCTCTGCCTCCCGAGTCCCAGCTGATTGGCTGGGTCTTCTTTTGTTCCCCTGTGCAGGAGAACGGAGCTGGAAAGCAGGTTAGTGGG